TAGACGTGGAATAAAAGTGTTGGCTCGTGCTGAAGGGTATTTAGACCACAATGTGATTGTATCTCATTTAAAATAACTCACGTTTTTTTCAGTTAACCAAAACTCCTTTCTGTACTAGGCATATGGAGTTCACATGAATGGCTACGTTGTAAAAGACGGTCAGGAATATCTCTGGATTGTGAAGAGGAGTCAATCGAAACCGACATACCCACGAATGCTTGATGATCTAGTTGCTGGTGGACTGGTTTGTATTGATAACTCTGTTCATTGCTCATATGCTTGGTCCTCATCCAAGCTGCAAAAATGTAAAATAATTTCTGTGTCATCACCAGTACTTCCTTTCCAAATCATGTTTGTGTTACCATTTTCATGTTGAACCTTTTGGTTCTATCTCTTTCTGCATAGTTGTGGCATGGTGCTAGGATTTCTCATTCTGTGTCTGACAACAACCCTCCTCAGACCCGGGCTGGGGGAACCTTGTCTACTGGAATGTCCTCTTTTATGAGAACAGATCTAGCACCCCACCACAAAGCTGAGATAGAAATTCCAGACGTTTATATTCCAAAGGCCTGTGAAACTTCTGTGATGTTTTACTGTCATAGTGGATTAGACTACGTCCCTTTCTTCTAGGAAGCTGCACACCGTTTGCTTATGTAATAGTCTGACCTGCTAATATGCTTCTCATTTTCAAGTGAACTTTGATAATTTCATGACTCTGTAAAATGGGGATAACTCTGTCTCAGTATGCTGCTTTGTTCTTTTTAAATTGCTGTAAGTTCATGAATGGGAAGTTTGGGTGTACACTGGATTGAAAAAATAAGAGTAGCGGATTGCTTCTCTTGATACGTTTCCTGCATAGAAGGGAACATTTGGAGACAACTCTGGAAATATCTTGACTGAAGTACTCATTAAAACACTACAAAGCATATGTGGCGATTGTTAAAGATGGTAATTTGGGTTATAAAAATCCCTCTCGCGTGAGAATTTCCTTGAGAAGTGATCTCCATAATTCGGAAAGTTCTTTTAATTGAAAAATAGGTGAACAAATAAATGATTCGGATACCATCTCCATGTCTGAAGTCTGAACAACCTGGATTTGACGTTTTAAAGTATTGTTTGAAGGGGTCAATTTGCATGGGTTCAAGAGAAATTCTAGTTAGGCTTCAATGAATTTGGGTGAGACTGAGTCTTCACAAGTGAAACTAAATCCTGTTGACTAGAATAGGGAACAAACAGCTTCGTTCTTTTTCTCCCCTTTTGCTGGTGTTAAAACCTTAGGTGGGAAGTCTTTAATCCTTCAACACTCTGATGTTTTAACAGTGTTCACCCTGTAAAAAATGTTGGTGGAAAAAGCTGAGGTGGAGCTTTTTTCTGTTGCTTATTATCCCTTTTGCTGAAGCCATGAGGGGGAGATCTATTTGGAATTCTTTCAGTCCTTCAATACTGTGACGTTCATCTCGTTATTAGCCCTTATGAGTGTCGGTCGAAAATGAACTTCAGCTTTTGTCTGTTTCTTTTTGTCTTATCAGATAGTGTTCATTGACAATGTGGATAAAATGATCCAAAGCACAGACCACTGTATTAGTTGCTTTGCTTTCTTTGTTGTGTCCTTATCGATTTTGTTATTAAGCTGACTGCATGTTTTCCCCTTGACCATGATCATCAACTAGAACCATTGAACCCTGCGTTTTTTTCGGTAGACTAATAGATATAGGTCTCTGTGTGGGGAGAATCTCACGAAGGAATGTGAAGAAGAAGCAGGTATTCCAAGAAGCATTTCCTGTAGGTAAGTAATCATTCTCATAGTATTTCCGTCCATGTTGCAAGTATTTCTTTTTAGAGATAAGTGTACTAGAAGTCCTGAAACTTATCAAAAAAGTACAATTGAGTCCTTAAACTTTCAAAAAGTACAATCAAGTTCTAAACTTGTCACAAAAATGCAATTGAGTTATAAAACTTTCAAAAAGTGTAATCAATTGAAGGACTTAATTGAACCAATTTGATAAGTTTTAGGGCTTGATCGTATCTTTTGAAAGTTTTAGGACTCAATTGCATTTTCGTGTCAAGTTTGGGGACTTCCGGTGCACTTATCCCTTCTTTTTATTAGCTTAAACTTTCTGATGAGAATGGAGGTAAGTGATCGGGCTCACCGCATGGCTTAATGTTGGGCAATATTTCCTTTTCTCAGCTTGAACTTGAAGATGATAATTAAACTAGCTCCTTGTGCATTGAAAATCTCTCTCTCTCTCTCTCTCTTTCTCTCTCGGGGTCAGTAAGTGAGTGTGTAACATATATGTAAACTGTAGGTACATGCGCATAATACGTATGTGCCATATCCATATGTGCGTATATTGGCTTTACTAACTTTCTGAGACATCATTGTAGAGCAATGCCAGTTGGTGGTGTTTCCTACATGGACATAGATGGATATAGCTACAAAAGAGACGTCTTGTTCTGTTATGATCTTATACTTCCTGAAGGTTTTACGCCAAATAATCAAGGTAAGATCTGTAAAAGTTGGGTTCCCTTGAGAATCAGTAAATGAATGAGGACAGCGACTCGTGTTTCTGATGCTGTGGTTTTCTTTACTATCCTATGATAGATGGAGAAGTAGAGAGCTTCAAGTTAATTCCTGTGCCCCAAGCTGCAAATGTCGTTGGAAGGACCGAGTTTTTCAGGCCCAACTGCTCACTAGTCATCATCGATTTTCTACTTCGACATGAGTAAGGGCTTCTCTTTGTATTCTCTCCATTTGTTTCTCCATTTATCTGGTTCTTTTTAACTCTGGTCCTTTGTTCAGTGGTTGTGCCTTTTCCAACATTGAATTCGTCTGTATATAAGGGGAGAGGAGAAAGAGAAGTGCACTGGTCTGTTATTCCATGGAAATCATGGAGAAAGCATGAATCAGATAAGGAAAGATTACTGACAGTCCCCTTTTGTTTGGTCACTGTCTAAGTTAGTTTGGTGCATCTAGCTTTCTTGTTGAGACCCTTTATGCAATAAATTGTGCTGAATCAATACAAGCTCCAATGGCTGATTCCTAGAAGAAACACGTTCGCAGTTCTTCGCCATTCCGTGGAGCTAGAGAAAGAAATAGTGGTGGTGCAATGTTTACCAAAATATGACTGAGCAATGCAATATCTGATATCATATCTTAGATCAATATGCTCAATGGCTACTTGTGTGATCTAGTTCATGGTACTTTCAGAACAACGTTTTCTGACAGTCATTCTCAGAGGAAGCTACATGTTTAGAGTTCGAGTTTCATTTCGAATTTAACCATGCAGTGAAACTGCGAATTCCGTCGGCAAAACTCACCTCCTAACATCATTCTTCACGAGGAACTTCATCGCGGAACCTCAATTCGTTGCCATTCGAATTAACTGTAGTTATATTGGATGGTAAGCTTTTCGATCACAAAGAGAAGGGGGACTCCAATTAGGTGAGCTGATGCTTTTCATGGTTGTTGCAGGTACATCAAGCCTGAGTATGTTGGATACTTGGATTTAGTGCGAAGCCTGAAGAGTGGAGATTGCTCCTAAGTTTCGGATTATCGCATTATTCTTTAGGAAAATTACGCAAATGATTTTTAAACTTTGGCTTACTATACGATGTCATCCTAAACTTTTACTCTACTCAATGTGGTCCTTGAATCATCCGTAACTGTTCAATATAGTCATTCTGTTTGCTCAAATAACAAATTAGACATTATTTGATGACGTGAATTATAATATGCCGAGTTTGATTTTTGAAAATGATAATTGTACGTGTCAATCTTTTTATTCATGTACTTTAGAAAAGGAAAAAATTAGGGCGTTAACATGTCCATCATTATATGATGACATGAATTATTATATGCTAATATAATATGAATATCTTAATTGAATAATCCACGCGCAGATTTTTTTTGTTGCCCACCTTTCGAACTTGATGGATTGAAAGCCACATCAGCAAATTTCATTAACTGGAATCAACGAAAAGACGACCTTGAATACTTTCATATAGTCTAGGGATTATATTGAACAGTTACTAATAATTCAAGGACCATATTAAATAAATAAAAAATATAAGAACGGTATTGCATATTAAAGCAGAGTTCATGGATCATTTGTGTCATATTCCCTTGTTCTTTTCCCCAAAATCAATGAAATTTCACTGGAGAAATTTTTTAACTTCAATATACGTTTGTCATGCTTTGGGGCGAGGTCAATTTTTTTTGTAAATATTTCAACGTAAAGAATATTTGAAAGACAATTTTTTTGGTTTCAAACTCGTACAAATAAAGTTTCATGAAAGGCCCACTCATGGCTTTCGATATAAATATCATCTCATCCATTGCGAAAAAAAATTCTTAACTTAACAAAGCTCGAGCGGCGAGCAACCATGGATGCCGCGACTCGAGCTTTCAAGGACATGGATGTTGTGAGCTCGAGTGACTCGTGAAATGAATGATTAACAACAATAATAATGGAACGAATTGCATTGAATTAAAAAATAGTGAATAAGTACACCGAAAATTTTAAAACTTTTCAAAAAGTTCAATCAAATTTTAAAACTTATCACGAAAATGCAATCAAGTCCTAAAATTTTCAAAAAAGTGCAATTGAGTCTTATAACTTTCAAAAATTGCAATCGAGTACTAAAACTTTTAAAAAGTGTAATCAACGGAAGGACTCGATTGGCCCAAATTGACAAATTACAGGACTTGATTGAACTTTTTGAATTTTTTAGGATTCGATTGTACTTTCGTGACAAGTTTTAACTTCTTTTGAAAAAAAAAAAAGTAGAAAATTTTTTATTCTTCGGTCATTGGAAATTTAAAAAGAAATTTTGAAAAATGAAAATTTTCGGGCAAAAATCAAGTTTCGCAGCCGGGTCAATCTATCATCTTCCCGTTCCAGTCTCCATGGGCATTTGTTCCCACTTTCTCTCTCCTCTCTCTCTCTCCACTTTCTCTCTCTCTCCGAGTGAACAGCGACGAGTTGCACGTGTGCGCTCCGATGTCTGATGACATTGTTGTCTACTTCGACGCGGCGCAGATTAATAATCTCAGGTTTCTCTTGTTTGTTGCTGCATTGAATCTCTGCTGTTCTTGCTTTCCCAGCTTTTGTGTCGAATCGGGATCGAAGCGCGGCTTGCTGTTTCGGTTCTGCATTTCTCGAATGCGGTAGGCATGCTCTTGTAGTGCTCTTGCTGCTGTTGGTTCTGGCGCACCACCGTCGTTCGAGGAGAGAACGCGGGCCGCTCTTCATCCGCTCGATGATCCATCCGAGAGCAAAACCGATCGACCTGGTCGAAGCGAAGGATCTTCTCAACGCTCTCGGTTTCTGCGTGCCTGCCCGATACTACAGTCATCTGGGTCGGGACAAATTCAAGACTCCCAAGAACTCCGAGCTGCAGCAGCCTCCGGGATGCTCTCGACATCGTCGGAAACCCGACCCTTTCGTTGCCAGAGTTAAGGAAGTCGAAGACCCAGATGCGGCGCTGTCTCTTTTCTATGAGTATCGCCGGATGGGCTTCAGGCATGACTACCCTTCGTATTCTGCTCTCGTTTACAAGCTCGCCCGGTCTCGTAGCTTCGAAGCCGTAGAGGAGATTCTGAGTCGCATTGAAGAGAACGACGTTCGTTGCAGGGAGGGCCTCTTTATAGCTTTGATTCGGCACTACGGGAAAGTCCATTTGGTGGACAAGGCTGTTGGGCTGTTCCAGAGGATGACTTCTTTTAACTGTACCCGCACGTTGCAGTCCTTCAATACGATTCTTAACGTTCTTGTGGAGAACGACAAGTTATCGGACGCGGTTGAGTTGCTCCAACGGTCATACAAAATGGGTTTCCGCCCAAATTCGGTTTCTTTCAATGTAATCATGAAGGGATGGCTTGAAAAAGGAGAGTGGGAGACTGCGTGCCAGGTATTCGATGAAATGCTAGAGAAGAGGGTTCAGCCCACGGTTGTAACATATAACAGTCTGATAGGATTCTTGTGCAGAAAGGGTGATGTTGAAAGAGCAATGGGCCTTCTTGAAGACATGACTCACAAAGGGAAATACCCTAACGCCTTAACATATGCTTTGCTGATGGAAGGTTTGTGTTTTTTAGGTAAGTATGAGGAAGCTAAGAAACTTATGTTTGATATGGAGTACAGAGGATGTAAACCGGCGCCCGTAAATTTTGGTGTTTTGATGAGTGATCTAGGAAAGAGAGGTGAGATTGACAAGGCAAAGGAATTGCTTAAAGAGATGAAGAGAAGAAAGTGTAAGCCAGATGTAGTGTCCTACAATATATTGGTCAATTACTTATGCAAGGAAGGTAGACCTGCTGAGGCATATAAACTTTTGGTTGAGATGCAAATCGAAGGCCGCGAGCCCAATGCAGCTACGTATCGCATGATGCTTGATGGTTTTTGTAAGGTTGAGGACTTTGAAGGAGGCTTGAAGGTTCTTAATGCAATGTTGACAAGTAAGCATTGTCCTATGGCTGATACATATTGTCGTTTGGTTGAAGGATTGTTGAGGGATGGAAATATAGATCATGCATGCCTTGTAGTTGAGGAGATGGAGATGAGAAAGATCAGAGTTAAGCTGCAGTCTTGGGAAGTTCTAGCTACACATGCTTGTGGAGCAGATGGAGGTGCAGGGAAGCTTCTCACTGAATTGTCTTTATAGGAATTCTACTGCTTTCTCTGGTCACTTGAGTGAAGATTGGGTACCGGTTGCTGTCTTTCCCAGAATTATGCAGCCATGGGCAAGATTCCAAGCTTCCCATCTTATTGCACAGGTGACCTCGAGACATATTGTTGACCAAGAGGCGAGCCACATATTTTGACTGTAAACGGCTGTCATGTTTAAACTTCATCAGTCATGGTCATGGCTGATTGGAATAAGAAATAAGGTATTGCTTGTGTGTACTACCTATTTATCCTCAGACACTTATGCAAATGGGGTTGGTTATGCTCAAACATATGTTTTCTTTTCATGTTCATGATAGTAACATTGCATGGTCGTGATCTGACAATGTGCAATTCTGGTATCTTTACTGTGGTTTCAACTGTTCTTATCAGCTATATACCATGGAATTATCATGTGATGTTAGGTAGATTCCTCTCTCGAAGTTGGAGCAACTCTTTATTTTGGCATTAGGGTTTAGTTTGTTCCTCTCTATAATGTTCTAGTTCTTTGGGAGATTTGATACTTTTTCTTTGAGGTCAAAAGTATGAGTTAATACATCTGTTCCAGCATATTATGCGTCAAAATCCTTCTTGTGTAATATAGAAAAAAATTCCCGGGAGTGGAATTCAAATAGTAGGCTGATATTCTTCCCCTTTTTTTTTATTTTATCAGAGATATTCTTCCTATAGGTATAGACTATTGTCTCGGTTTTCACATAACTTTGTGAGGCATGTTGATGTATCCCACCAAATCATACTGCAGCGACTTACCGAAGCTGTTGTAAAAAACCCATGTGAAATCTCTTGGTTATTATTGTACTGTGAGAAGATGATTCCCTATGGGTGTTAAGGTAACCCAGCGCAGGCTCTTACTCAAATCTCACAAGTTTTACAGCATTGACATTTCTCCTTAATCAACCAAATTTCTGGAAAGGTGCTTTAGTATGATAGTGTCTCTCTATCTCTCTTGCCCCCCATCCACCCACCCCAAAAAAACAAGAAAATGAAAAAAGAAACCCAAACCCCACTTTATGCAACAGAGAAGAACAGTCCATGGTCATAACAGAATGCGGACAAGGATAAAAAGGGCTCTGCCATTAATTGGATAAGATATTTTTACTAACACTTGCTTAAGGAAACCGTTATGAGAAACCTTTTGACCAAGTAGATGATAGCATAGTGAGCATTCAAAGTCCAACTAGGAACCTTCAATCGTGAAAAGGAGCTGGTAGGATGGAGAAACTTGCTGGCTTGTGGTAATGTTCAAGTATACTACCATATGACCATAATAGTGGGACTAAAGTAATTTAAGTCCTACTAATATGCCCAACTAATATGCTTCTGATTTCCAAGTGAACTTTAATAATTTAACGACTTTGATGAATGGACATAAGTACATCTCGATTAGGTTGTTTTTGGCCTTTGAGTTGCTGTTGATTTCTGGAATGGTAGTTTTGGTTTTTAGTGAATTAGAAAAAAAATCATAGTAGCTGATTGCTTTCTCTCAATAATAGAAAGATGCAGAGACGACTCTGGAAGTATCTTGCTGAATTACTCTTTTATTAATGCATTAGTGGAGGAAAATGGTTTGCTAAATGATGTGCTTGTCAATGAGACCAGAAGCATGAGATTTCATCAGTCATGAATCCAATGATAAGACATGATTTTACAACCCAATATAATCTAAAACAGCATAGATACGTGAGAAACTGCATTGAAATGTTATACCATGTACCAAAGATTACATGGCCCCAAGGGCAAAGTTTTCGCTATAACATAGACCACGTTTCTAGGTCATCTGATGTAGTTATTTGCATTCTCCTGAATTGCACCTGTAGTTTGCAATAGAGATAACATTCTTAGTGATTTAATCCTTAAGCTGACTTGATTATCTTGTTAAGATACAATTAGGTGCAGAATGTTGACTTATAATGGAATCAAGGCTCTGTTATGAAGTACTATGGCTAATAAAAGTTCTCCGTTGCAAGCCACATATTTTATTAATCTGTGAAGGATAAGCTGGCGATTATCAAGATGGTGGTTTGGATTATAAAAAGCCCTCTTGTGCGAGAATTTCCTTAAGAAATGACATAACAGTTTGGAATGCACTATATAATCGAAGTATAGGTAAAAAGGTTAATGTTTTTTTATACCATCCACATGGTTTGAAGTCTGAGAACAGGTTGTGTTTGACGGAACAAAACATGCGTTGACTGAATGGGTCAATTTGCATTGGTTCAAGAAAAACTCTAGTTAAGCTTAATATATTTGGGTGAGATCTAGTCGTGACAAGTCAAACTGAATCCTATCTACTGTGATTGAGAGTAGCTCATTTGTTTCTCCCCTATTGCAGGTGTTACAACCTTAAGTGGGGAATTTGTAATCCTTCAATACTGTGATGTTCATCTCACTATTAACCCTGTAAAGAGTGTTGCTAGAAAAAGCTTAAGTGGAGCTTTGTTCTGTTATTTATTATCTCTTTAGCTGGTGCTAAACAATAAGTGTGAGTTCTATTGGAGTATAGAGGATGTAAACCGGGGCCTTCTAACTTTGGTGTTTCGATGGCTGATCTAGGAAAGAGGCGAGACTGACAAGGTAAAGGCATTGCGTAAGAGATGAAGAGAAGGAAGTGGAAGCCAGATGATGTGTCCTACCATATGTTCAATTACTTATGCAGGAAAGGTAGACCTGACGAGGCATATAAACTTTTGGTTGAGATGCAAATTGTGGGCCCTCGGCCCAACGCAGCTACGCATCACATAACATGCTTGATGGTTTTTGTAAGGTTGAGGATTTTGAAGGAGGCTTGAAGGTGCTTAATGCATTGTTGACAAGTAAGCATTCTCCTATGGCAGATCTTGCCGTTTGGTTGAAGGATTGTTGAGGGATAGAAATATAGATCATGCATGCTTTATTGTTGAGGAGATGGAGAAGAGAGAGATCAGAAGTTAAAGCTGCAGTCTTGGGAAGTTCTAGCTAGGCATGCTTGTGGAGCAGATGGAGGTTCAGGGAAGCTTCTCACTGAATTGTCTTTATAGAAATTCTATTTCTCACTCTGGTCACTTGAGTGAAGATTGGGTATTGGTTGCTGTCTTTACCAAAATTATACAGCCATAGGCAAGATTCCAAGCTTCCCATCTTAATGCAAAGGTGACTTGAGACGTTTTTGACCAAGGGGCGAACCACATATTTTGACTGTAAACGGCTGTCCAAGGTGGAATTCTCTTTACGTTTAAACTCCATCAGTTACGCCCATCGCTGATTCGCATAAGAAATATGGTATTGCTTATGTGTACTATCTTTTTATCCTCTGAAACTTATGCAAATGGGGTTCATTATGCTCAAACATATATTTTCTTTCATATTCATGATAGTGACATTGCACGGTGACAATCTGACCATGTGCGATTTTGTTATCTTTACTATGGTTTTAACTGTTCTTATCAACTGTTCTTGTCAGCTATACACTGAGGTCAAAGTCTTAGTTAATACATATTGTTCTAGCATATTATGAGTGAAAATCCTTCTTGGACAAATCAAATATTCCCGGTAGTGGAATTCAATCTCGTAGGGTAGATCTTGATCTGTTTTCCATATATAAATCTTGATCTCATAGAGAGTATCGTGTTTGATTCCTATTTGATTCTGCTGCAGAGAAGTGATCGAGAGTATACTTGATTCCTATTGTTGATCCGCCATTACTTCTGATGATTTCGAGTTTCTCGAGCACTCTTCAAATGTCGTCACCACAAGACAAGACGACTTCATCCTTTATTATGGAACCACTAGGCAAGTTGTGCAAGATGCAAAATTACAAACCCGAGATGCAAATACAAAGGCCTCAAATGGAGCAACACACACTAAAGAATACAAACTACATTTCTGTAGCTAAGTCTCTGTGACTAACGATCCAGATGCTTTGTAATTTGTCAAGTGAATCAATGATGACGATTTGCCATTGTAAAGAATGACATTTTCGAACCAAATGCATCTCCCCAGGTACCAAAAGCATCAAGTTCAAATTCTGGCGATCCTCAAAGTTTTCTGTGATGAAATAAGTAAGAATAAACATATAAAAGGGTAGCCATTTGAGGGTAAGCACCGAACTGTTAGCCCATACAAGCTGTAGAGCCAATTGAGTGACTCTGAAAATCGGCCAATGCAACTTTCGGACGAGATTCTCGGCCTCATCGCATCGTCGGGCGATGAAACTCATGCTCGAAGCCTTTTCTTGTTACCAAGATTGGCTCGAGGAATTTCCTGAGCCTGAGGCCTGACACCAAGTTGGGCTATGACCCGTTCATTTCATCCATTACCTTTAGCAAGAGCCATTCAAACTTTCATATTATGTCTTTTATTTGTTTCACGAAAAATAAATAATTCAGAAAATATTTTCCTAAATACGAGCGCTTGTATCGCTTGAAATAAGGGAAAATGATACTACAAGTGCCATAAATTTCGTGCGGCTCTCACTTCAGTATCAAAACTTTTTGAGTGATTACTTAAGTGCCATCACCGATTTGTATGATCAGAAAGTTCAACGTGACAATTTTTTTAAGTTTCTCCGTCCGACGTGGCTCGCCGGCAAAGTGATTCAGCCTAAATAAACCTACAACAACATCGTTTAATGCATGTTTGCCCCAAATTAATGAATTGGGGCAAAGTCAATTATGCTCTTCAAACTTTACCCTAACAAATGGTTCTCGTGAAGGGGCTTGGAGTGATTCATGATGATGCGTCTGTTTGTGCAAGCAATAGACAGGGTAGCCTCTGCTTTTCGCAAGCAAGAAGATGCCCATTTAATCTCTCTGTTTGACGACGTGCGGTATCAAAGAAGAAGAAGAGAGTGAGAATACGACGTAGGCGTGGAGTGGAGAGCGCGAGAATTCGGGGATTTAAGGCCGCTGCACTAGATAATGAGTCGTAGCAGATCATGGATTGGTTCAGCAACATCAGGTTGGCCATCGGTCGAGAAAAAAATGTACCCTGGCGATCCAAATCTTGTAGATGAAGATGTGCAGGGACCTAAAACATTACAAAATCAATCTTAGGACACGTGAGTCAAAGCTAAAGTTACAAAACAAAATTATTTTCAGTCGATTTTATACAAATTTTAAATAAATGATTCATTAATTCACGTGAGTCAAAGCTAAAGTCAATGTCCAATGACCTGATAAATGATCAATTCATTCACCCAATTTGTCTTCTCTTCTCCCTCGTCTTCTTCGTTTTAAGCTACTAAAGATCTGGAAACATCATCACGCTTTGATCCAAGTCTCTAAAGTACAAGTTCAACAAAGTAACTTATATTCATGGAGCAAATCAAAGGCCTACTTTCTCAAAATGAAAGAACGAGCAAAAGCTTGAACTTCGCAGACAGTGATCTACTGCACCGGAGCTGATGAACTGAGCGCTTTTTCTTTGGCTTTTGAGTTCATCCTGCTCCTTATCGTGCAATAGTCGTGTGCAGTGCAAGCCCGAGCAGGCTTCATGCATGTGTAGTGATCACGCCACTATAACCTTGAGAAGTCGCCTTGCACGCCACCCCGACTCGCATTGGCAGGGAACAATAAGAAACTTGACAGGGTTTTTGTTCATCACAGAAAATTGAAAGGTGTTTGCCCCCAAAATCAATCAAATAGATACCCAGTGTGGAGCAAATCCTTCTTAAAAAAGAGAGCTTTGAGAAAAGTATTATTCTATTCACTCACGCTGGCTGTTCAAGGATGAAGAATCTCACTAGATGACCAATGCCTTCTATTGACATTTGGGTCTACATTTTGATCTTGACTGAAGAATCAAGTCAGCTTCTACAACCAACTACCCTGCTCCCTCAATTATGTAAGACTAACAATTTAGGAAAGTGCAGAACCCTGTCATGGAAAACCATCTTGTCAAAAGAAGATGGTGATGAAAAGTAGGACATGAATATTAGAAGAAAAATGATAATTTACTCCTTATTTACCTATGTTAAAAATACATGACTTGTCTCACTGTTGGCACGCAAGATGGTCCTCAGCTGGTCTCACTGTTGGCACGCAAGATGGTCCTCAGCTGTTGCTGATGCTTCCTCTGCAAAATCCCTTTTCTTCATTTTGATTGGTCTCAAGTCTGGAATTTGAAGTTTCTCAGCCAAGTGAGCCACACCCAAATCAGTCATGTGAAAAGTAATTTCATGACAACAATAGGATCAAATGGGATGTAAACTAATTAGCAAATTCTTGAGCTCCTTGCCCTAGCTTGTTTCACAGATGGGCAAAAAATTGTCCAATTATGCAAAAGGTCATCAATACAGCTGATTGAATTGAAGTCCCAAAGTAAGCCTTGATCATTACATAGACCAACCAAACCTGTCACAGAAGCAGCAACACTAGTTTACCTTGCTTGATAATATTTCAAAACAACAGTTTGACTACTGGTAATGTTAAGGGGGTGTACATTCATATATGACAGACTAGCCAAAACTGCTTTAACATTTTTTTTTATCACCAACCAGAAACACTTGAACCTTATATTTTATTTTAGCTCAGTTCATCATACTTACTGGGAATTGAAGCCCTTCTTAGAAGGTTCAAGAGGAACATAAAGGGAACATTAAGAAACTTGACTGGGTTTTTGTTTATCACGAAAAACCGAATGGCCTTTGTCCCAAACAGGACATATGCCATTAGTCAAATTTGACACAAGGCAACTCACAAAGGAACTCAAAATGGCCAAGGATTTTTCAAAGAAAATATGAATTTTGGACAGGGAAAATCTGGGGTGTAGTTTACAATATTGAGTGGCAGAAGATCATCAGCCTCTAGAAGAAAATTTCAAATCCCGGGTTTACAGAGAGGGAAACTGTAAATCACTAGGGAATTCTTGTTTATCTATGTTTGATATTTTCATCCTTGCCTCACAAGCCGCTAATCCGTTCGCAGTCTACAAAAGCTGCCAATGGAAGGATAAATGAAAAACATTGATATAACGTAATATGTAGGCAAATCCGGAGTTTCCAAAATCAATCAAATAGATACCCAGTGTGGAGCAAATCATTCTTAAAATATAGAGCTTCGAGAAAAGTATTACTCTATTCGTTCACGTTGGCCGTTCGAGGATGAAGAATCTTACTAGCTGACCAATGCCTTCTGTTGACATTTGGGTCTAAATTTTGATCTTGGCTGAAGCATCATGTCAGCTTCTATGACCAACTCCCCCACTCCTTCAATCATGTTAGACAAGCAATTTAGGAAAGTACAGAATGGGAAACCTTCTTGTCAAAAGGAGATAGTGATGAAAAGTAGGTCATGAATCTCAGAAGAAAAATGATTGTTCACTTCTTATTTACCTCTGTTGAGGAAACATCAATCACTCTCTGTTGAGGAATGATCATTCAATAAGTAGTAAGATAGCCGTCCTTCATAATTTCTAAAGAGGCATGTTCCGGATAATTTCGGTATTGCTTCCAATGAGTCACAACCAGAGATATTCAAATCAATTAAATCCAACTTTTCAAGTCCCCGAAGCTGAGTAAGTTTCTTGCAATCTCGAACTACTAGATATTGTAACCTCTCACATCCCGTCAAATCTGGCAAAGTCTCCATTGATTCGCATCCTGTAACATTCAACGCTTCTAAGAACTTCGCACCATCAAGACCTCGAATTTTGACTAGATTGTTGCACCTGACAGCCACTAATTCCTTCAAACACGTTGATTCTGGACAGAGAAGCCTTTCAATGGAATTGCAATCAAATATAGATATGCGCTCCAAGAACTCCAAATTTTCAAGGCCCTGAATTTCAACTAGGTTATCGCAACCTGCAGCACATAATCGTTTCAGACGAATTAACTGTGAAAGGTCCAATCTTTCAATTGAACTGCAATCTTTTATTGAAAATGTTTCCAAGTTCTTCAATCCATCGAGCTTAAGCAATATCAGCTTACGACACAGCCAAATATAGAGTTTCAAGAGTCTCGAGGGAAGCTCGGAGATGTCTTCAAGTAGATGGCATTCCCAAAGACGGAGTTTTTCTAGGTGGATTAGGCTAGAAAGCCGCGGCAGCGACCGAAGCTTGTGACAGCGATGCAGCTCAAGGCGCTGGAGAGAACAAAGATCCCCAATAGAATTGGGAAGCTTTTCAAGCCGAGAATAACTGACGTCCAGAAATTGCAAATTCTTTAAATCCCCAATTGAGCTAGAGATTTCTCTCAGTGACTCACACCCGTAGGTGTTCAGTGTCTTCAGCTTCCTCAGAGAACCAATAAACGTAGGGATCTCTATAATACCACTATCATATAATAGAAGTTCTTCTAAATCTATTAATTCGCCCACTTCCTCTGGTAGCCCCTTCAGTCTTTTACATTCACTCAAGTCCAAGGAAACAAGACTCTTGAGTTTGCCAATAGAAGGGTGGAGATGCTCCAGTCTGGAACAATATCTCAAGATGAGGATCTTCAACTGCGTAAAAGCCGAGAGATCAGGAGTACATCTTAAACCACTGCACCATGTAAGGTCGAGAACTAGTAGCCGCTTTGCCGTCTACACAAAAAAGAGGAGAATAAAGCTGTCAAAAGATTGAGAGTGGGGGATCGGCTAAACAAAAACAAAACCCCATCTTAAATCACGGAGAGAGGGAGGATGTCTCTTTTCTTTCCCCCACAATCTTACCATGAATGAACTCCTCCATCCTTCCCAATCCTCTGTGATGTGGTTCTCGCCCAATTCCAGTACCGATAAGTTCAGTAGATGCAAACCGGTCGTCGGAAGAGGCGGATCGTCTTCCCCGAACTCCCACTGAAGCCATCTTATTTCAGAAAGGAGTTCGTTGGAGTCTCCGATTGAAGCTCCCCTCAAGAAGTCATGGAACCAGCAGCGTCCCTGCAAGTTCTAAAATTGTTCATCTGAGTGCGTCTGGACATGGGCGAAGGAATTGGACGGGACAAAGAAAATGACGGAAAGAGCTTTTTTTTTACTTTTTTAGTTTTTTGCTTTTTTTTAAATCTTGGATTCGCACGATTTGTTATCTTGCTATCCTTTCCATATATAAATATGGACACGTGAAATCACGTTTAATTTTTTTTTTGACGGCCTTTAGAAATTTGAACAAATGACATGAAAATAAAGAAAAAAATAGTTCTTGCTTTAAAACAACTGAGGCAAATGCACCTGGATGTTTTATCTTTGGCTCTCTTTTTTTCAAATTTTGTAGCGCGTCCACTTTGACAGGGATCGAAAAAAAAAGTCGCTTTTATAAGTCAAAACATTAATGTTTAATGTTCCTGCTAAAACAGATCATTTGATAAGTTGAAAATGGTGAAAAAAAAAGCTCATATGGCTTTGTTTCACTTTAATAATTATACCGTTATTTTCCCCCAAAAGTTCAATTGGTTAGAATTGCTTTTTTGGTTGGTTTGATCCACTTTTACGGTTTGACTCATCTCTCGTTATCTCTACTTTATATATTAACCGCTGAAAAACCTGCGATGGGTATAATTTCTCCTAAGTTTGTTAGTAAAAAGAGTCATTAAATTGTTGTAATCATAATTTCACGCTATCTTTCTTAATTTTCGCTTGTACATCATCTATATTGTGTAATACATTAAAAAAATCTACTATACAGAAAGGGGATTTCAAACCTCGTCAAAAGTTTTTGCATATATTTCATCAAAATGAACTAAAGACATAGGATATAACAAAATAAATAAAATAATAGTCGAGACAATTGAAATTTAGTCCCATAAGTATTTCATTTTCCGAAGTTAAAGCAAAATCTCTTGTGTCATACAATCATTTAATATTTTTTTCTATACTCATTATCATCTTTCAACGTTTTTGTCTGTTTAAAATAGATTTGACTTTTTTTCATTTATCAAACACCTGTATGGTGTGCTCTTTTTGCTAATGCTAAGAAGTTATTTGATCAACAAAAGAGTGTGATTTAAATCATAGCAACGAACTATTTCAAATTATATCAAGACTATAGATTGTTTCCTTTGCCCAACATCTCTTGGTTAATTGCTAAGGTTAATTCCTGGCCATTGATCAGTCATGAGCCTATGAGGCATCTAGATGGACAATATATAATAATAAAATCACATTGACAATATAAGTAAAAGAGAAACATAGTTGAAAAAATTGGCTTCATGCTGAAAATCATATATAATGGCTACAAAGATATGGATATAATAATAAGCACGACATTTCCTCTCATTAGTCAAGTTTTTTTTTTTTATATAAATAGTCAAGTTAGTCTAGCGGTTTTTGGCACAAAAGAGGCATTGTCCCAAAAAATATAAATAATATAAAACAACTTATGGCATATAGAAATGTTTGTTATAAGAAATGAGCATGGTTAATGTGATAAAACCTTAAAAAATAGTAAGATTTTCCTAAAAATATTTTTAAGGGGATTTTTGCTATCTTATTTATTAAGATGAAATAAGAATGAAAAGAGATAGATATAACTAGTAGAGTAGAGGGATGGGTATCTTCAAAATCAAAATGGAGAAAAAAATATCAAACATTGGATTCATAAATCATAGAAGCACCACCAATACATTCGGCCGTACTAAAAGGCAAGCATATGTGATAAGTGTGAAATTCTTTCCAAACTTATTGCTTTGAATTAATTATCAGTTATTATAATTGGCACATACCTTCTTCTTCTTCTTTTTTCCTTTCAACCAGGAAATCTTCATTTATATGATCTATGATGTTTATACTTCATCTTCATTCATTATTGTAGTCCTTCATATTATCAATATTTTCGACTAGATATGACAATTGCATGCTTTTAGTAAATGAGATTTATAGTGTATATTTTGTAGTTAAAGGATATTAAATTGATTGTAAATTAAATTTTTACGGATGTAATTTATATCAATGAAATCGAATCAAATGATTTAACTCTTTCATCCTTCAGATACTTATATTTATTTAGTTGTCACAATTAATCTATGATGGACGTAAATGGATGTTTACAAAAATATTTTTCCTAGAAAGGAAGGTGCTAAATGAAATATTAGAATAGATCAGATTAAATATATTAAAATAAGAGGGAGAGAAAAAGAAGGAGTGCCATATTTTACCCATTGATTGCTTAGTATTTTTGAGGTTCCCTTGTAGTTGTTGTCCCATGGTCCGCTACGTTTGTCAAGCAGTTGTCCTTCGCAAAAAATGCTCCTTCCAAGATCTCTCAATTGATCATGCATCTCAAACCAACCACCATCTCCAATTTTAATTAAGCATCTCAACTTCAACTCTTCAATTCCTTGACTTGGATAAAGCCTATCGTCCTCCCATATGTACATGGCATAATTGCTAATTTGGCCAATAAAGTGACAAGCAATATCGAGAAAAATCTGCTTATGTCCATCTTCTAATGCATCATAACTTATTCGCAATATTTTTTGGACATCTCTATGTGGTTGGCTTTTTAATTGCTTCCGCACATCTTCCCATACTTTTCGATCCGTTTTTTTATACAAGTATGAACCTACAACCTTAAGTGCCAAGGGAAGCCCGCCCATGGTGGATGTGATATCACGAGATATACCCTCAAAGTCCCTTGAAGAATGGTCCGTACGAAATGCGTGTTTGTTAAACAAAAGCAAAGAATGCACCTCATCCAATCCATTCAATTCATACTTGTATTCTACCTCGAATTCAGATTGATCAAGAACAGCTTTATTTCTAGTTGTAACAATGATCATGCTACCTGCCATAAACCAATTTTGTTCCCTAGCCAGCGCATCCAGTTGATTCTTGTCATCTATATCATCGAGAAGAATGAGAACCTTTTTTCCTTTGAATCTAGATTTGATTATGTTAATTCCATCATCAATTCTAGACACTTGACTTTTGCTTCGTAGTATATCCGATATAAGTTGATTCTGTAAATACGTAATACCGTGGCACCTGGTAGTTTCTCGAACATCTAGAATGAAGCTGATATGCACAAATTTATTTGAGAGTTGATTGTAGATGTGCTTGGCAAGAGTTGTCTTGCCTATCCCGCCCATGCCATAAATTCCAATCATTCGAGCACGGATGGAAGGACTGTCCACCCAATTCATAATTTCCTCAAGACGACCCTCAAGTCCAATTAGTTGCTTAGGCACATCCAGCTGAAAATCTTCCTGTAACTTACTTATAACAGTTTCAACCACACGTTCTATTAATTTTCCCTCATGCCTGTCAAACAACAAAAACAATGAGAGATTATGAACCTATACATAGTCTATGCGAAGTTTTCGATCCTTATCAACTGAGCTAACACTTATTGGCTATAGGAGGTCGATTTTATCTAGTGGTGATCAAGCTTCTGAAGACCGAGCATTGGAGTCCTTTGTAGGCCTATTGTTTAGTGATTGATACCATTGGCTGGAGTTATTGTCGTTTCTTTGTTTTTTGGCTTTGTACCGGCGGAAAAGGTAAAATTCTTGGGCACTATGGGTTGCTTTGGTTTTAGGGGCCGTTGGTTTAGTTTTTAGGGACATCTTGGGGAGTGCTAGAGTTTGTCGTCTTCGAGGCATTATGGTTGTTTACTGGGACATTTTGGGGATCTTTTCTGAGTTTGCAGAGAAAGTAATTCATCTACATTTCATCGGTTCTGCGTGAAGAAGAAAACTTACTAATCGAAAAAAGAAAGGTTCAGTGAAGTACCCGTCGGCAAATTTCTCAGATTCCCATCCATTTAAGTAACTGACTTCATTAAGGGCTTGTCGCCCTTCCTTGATATCCTTCTCCTCAAAACGCGCCTGGCTCAAACGGAAGGCCTCCCCAAAACTTCCTTTTAGATCCCGCACATCTGATGGTTTCACTTCATAAAAAATTGGCAACACTATGTGTGACATGCTATTCTTACGGTCCATCATATGAATGAGTTCACGGAGGCACCATTTGCTCGTAGCATAATTTTTGGAGATGATGGGGATTGAAATCTTAGACCGTGAGATGGCACCGAGAATCTGTGAACCAAATTCCTCGCCAATTGGGATGCTGTTATCATCCTTGAACACGGAAAGAGGTACAGTCCCTACGCTGACCAGTCTATGGTAGAGATGATCGGTGAATTTCTTGCGAGTATCTGAGCCTCTAAAGCTCAAGAATACGTCGTATTGATCGTCACCTTGTCCTGTGAGTACCGGGGAGATGAACGAAGAAGTGGATGCTCCCTCAGTGATCTCTTCCTCTGCTCTCTTTCTCTGACTCTGCCCATTGCCCATGGTGATCTGAGGGCGAAATTTGAAACGAAAAGATGCTTTTCTGCTGCTCAAAAGGATTGATGAACAACGAAAGATGCTTTTAGGATGCTTTTTTGCAAATGCTTTGCTGGCTTGGTCCACTCCGAATAACGTGTAGGTTTATTTCTCCCCGAGGCAATGCTGAAGAAGGTTCGTGTTCTTGAGAAAGAGATAGGTAATGAAGATGCGGCCTTCAGTTAAGTAAGCTGATGTCGTTTCACTGCGGAAGATAAGGTGGCCCTAAAGAGGCCCCCAAAAAGCCCACATCATTTACTTGTTCAGAAACACATAGTTGAAACACATTCAAGTATTTAAACAGATCGAAGTGTAATTAGTAAACTTCCTTAAAACACATTCGAACAACTATGTAACTTCACGCACATCTATGATATTTCAAGATATTGAAATTATGTAGGAACCTCATTTTCACAATGCCTTCTGTTTAATCCCAGTGCCAATTAATTGTTGCCCAATAAACCTCATCCTCTAGATGCGTGCACTTTCCTAATTGGAGGAAATTTCCATCAATCACGTTTTTAATTTGGTGGGTTTCAAGTTTTAGGCATAGTTCATATATAAAATTAACTAAAGCTTAAATATTAAACGAGGAAAAATTTTCAATTGCTCAACTGTTTAAATTATGAAGGAAGTCGATAAAAATGATTCTAAATGAAAAGGAAATACTTCCTTTTGGGTCCACATTTTATATCTTTCTAAAAGTGCATAGATATGAGAGGAAATGCAAAAATTGCACTTTTCTTCCAAAAGTGGCCTTACTTCCTTTTTAAGGATGAATAGAATGAAGGATAATTAAGTCTATCAATGAAATTAAGTTCCATTTACATCATTTCCACCCAACATGTGTCCAAACATATTTCGAGGAAGTTTAGCTTTCCCTCTCTTCTTTCATGGTCTACTTGTTTTTTTGCTCTTAATTTTAGATTCTGAAATTTATGGCTTTAGTATTTCGAAATTTGGGGCTTTTTGTGAGATAAAATTTTATGGCTCTTACATAGGGTTAATATTAATACAAAAGTTTGCGTCTCACTTGTAATTGGAATATCAAGCGAAGCAATTTTGCACTTTCTTTAAATGTAATGCAATGTGTTGCATCTTTTTGCATGTATACAAGTTAGCATATTGCATGGTGTCGTGTTGACATTCATATGGTGACACGTTTAATAATTTCATTTGTCGTGTTGTGTCGTCTGATCTGCTTTATTAAGTGTCGTGTTCGTATTGTGGCAGTTCAATGCGTTTACTAAACGCATCTTATTTGGGTTTTGCCATATTCGTGTTATATCCTAACTCGTCATGACAAAATTAACATGACACAACATGAATTGTTAGTAGTACCTTTAGTAACATGATCGCTCACAAAAATCAATGATGAAAAAAGAATGTCCAAAGTCTTTGAATTTTTGTGGTCTTTAAGGATTGCCCGACAAAACCTTCACTTGATTTTTTTTTCCGAATAAAGAAAACAAGGAATTGCTAAAAGTGTAAAGGCCTCTTGGCCTTATTTCTCCAAGAAAACTTGAGCTTTCCTGACAAGCTGATACGTTCCTCACTCTTCCAATGACTTGGAACACGGTACTGTCCCTCTTGCTTAACTTCAATCAATCTTAGACCGTCTTTGTTCTTGCTTCCTCTCTCTCTCTCTCTCTCTCTCTCTCTCTCTCTCTCTCTCTCTCTCATGTTCTTTTCTCTTTTTGTGTGAATGTTGCTTCTCTATTCGTTTTGGGGTCGGTTGCTTCACTTCTTTTATTGGTTCAAATTCGGTGATTTCATATTTTAATTTTATTTAAAATTGTCATATTCTTAATGAAGTTGGAAATGTGAGGTAGAATTGAACAAATGGTCGTTGTCATTTCTCTCCTATCTATTTCATGCTGGCCCCACATGCCAATAATTTTATATAAGATGAATCTATGATATGATGTTACCAAGCTATTCACTTCAAACTTTCAAATTTATATTATTATTGATTGATATATTGTTTGCAAAATAGAGCTATAATTTGTTAAATGACACCAAATGAGCATAACACACTAGTAATAAGTTACTAATGATATATGAAATACTTGGACACAGTCCTTGAGTTCTTTTCCGGGTCATTTTTTTATTACAATTTTGTTGGCATATCATTCAACTCTTGAAAAGTCAGTAAACCAATGAAAAAAGAAGTATGCGAAATATTCAAAAAATAAAAGATGATTTAGGAAAAAAAACATAGAAAAGAAGGGAATGAAGTGTACGGGCTTACTTTTAGAAGAAAGCAGCAATATTTAGAGGTAACGTCCAAAAGGCTTTTGAATTATGAATTCAAGACACATAGAAACCTTCATGAACACAAATTAAAAGTAAAAAAAGAGAATGAAGTGTTATCAATTTTCCTCTCTCTCTCACTCTACCCTTTGTGCATGGCAATCTAAGGGCGAAAGTTGGAACGAAAGATGCTTTTCTGCTGCATAAAAGGATCGATGAACTAATCTCTACAAACAAGTATGAACATGAATCTGTTACCACGCAAGAAAAAATGAACATGAAATCTTTAATTAATTGGTAATTGATGGACAAGGAGCAGTTGCATATGCTTTTAGTCATCGCCTTATCTTCTTTTGGACCTCACCTTATTCAAGTCAAACTTGTTGGCTTGATCCACTCACGAGTAACGTGTACATTAATTTTTCATTTTGGCTATAAAGAACTAGAATTAGTATATTGCATTCAATTAAAAATATAAGCATACGTTCGGTTTTTATTTGGTTATTGAAAATCAGAATTTTATATATCAATCAAAAGATAATAATTGATTTGAAACGGAATTAGAAATGTGTGAAAGACGTCAAGAAAGGACCGAACTAGTAATTGTGGATGTGATTTTATATTTTAATCTTGTTTAAAATTGTCATATTCTTAATGAAGTTGGAAATGTGAGGTTCAGATAAACAAATGCTCGTGGTTTTTTTATGTTTTATCTATTCCACGCCGGCACCACATGCTACCATTCCATGTGAAATGAATTTATTTTGAACTGGTATGTTATCACCGAGCCTTTCATTTCAAATTTTCAAATCTAAAGAGTTGATTGATATCTTGTCTGTAAAATAGAGCTATAATTTATTAGATGGCACCAAACGGAGGAGCGGATGCTCCCTCAGTTCTCTCTTTTTATGCACTCTTTTTCTTCTTATTGAGATTAGTGAATACGAGGATAGAGACGCAAGAAGCACCGCAAAGGAACAACCTGAAATGAGACGGTGCATCTCTATGTTTGCGTTGCTCTAACTTTGCCCTTTCTCCATGTTAGTCTGAACGATTAGAAATTAGGTATTGATTCGATGTAAGGAGGAGAAGAAGATAAGAAAGGAAGAAAAAGGAAGCTGCTAAGGAAAATTCAGAGACGACCAAGGTTTGAAACAATGGTGTTGAGTGCTTGTCCCCATTTTTGTTGGAGGGCACACCTTGAGAATATCACCATAAAGATTTTTTTTATCCAATTAAATGGAAGTAGAATAGGACTATCGGCTAAATTTGTGATAAGTCAGGTTAAATTGATTAGTCACGTTTTGAAGAATGAATTTACTGTTTGTAACAAAAGAGGTGTAAGAAATGAGTGATATAAAGCTTGGTGAATCTCCTACTCTGCATGTATGGCTTGATTTATTTGATTGTTTTCATGTGTGCGTCATAAGATCAAATAGGTTTTTTTTTTCTTACTATTGGATATCATGTAAAAAATCTTAAGAAGATTACTCATTTGGAATGTTCTGTAGGGAGGTAAAATTGTCAAATGAAATCTCCTTAAGAGAAGACTTACTCTTAAGATGATCGGTTTCAGGATGAGTAGGTTCTAACCTAAGAATCGGGAATTGATTCTGTAATAATCGGTTCTCCGTTTTTGTAACCGAGAACCAAACTAGTCGACCCTGGAAGTGGCCTACTTTTATTTTTATGTTTTATTTTTCTATAAATTGATCTAGGACCTTCAAACACAGAGAAACCTCACAACACATAAAAAATAATGGTCTATGGATTCAATCGAAATGTGGCAATTTTGCTCGCAATAGAGTCTAGCGCGCTTGCAGACTTGCTCGTTCTAGTTCAACAAAAGATCAAATACCGAATTACAATGCAACTAACAATCAAAAAGCAAGGCCATCATAGGATTAGCCACATCTAAAGTCCAAAACAAAGGGCTTTCTTCTTTCACCGAAGTCAAAATCTGAGCTGGGGACATACCTGTTAACAGGCTACAACGTCTCCAAAAGAGAGAATAGAAGACCCTCCACTGCTGTTCAGCAGCCACCCCACATCTCCTATAGACTAAAAGGGCGGCAGAACACACTTAGTTCAGCCGATTATTCCAATAACAAAGCGATGAATCAATAGAAACGACACGCTAATAAGACATGAAAAAGTGATTACCTCCCGCGAGCTGTGATGCGAAGAGAGGTGCGAGATCGGAGAGAGGAGACCCTGAACAAGCCTGGGTGAGAACTTTCAAGAGGGAAAAGAAGAGAAAGCGAGGGAGGACTAATCAGTAGACGATAGTCTCGAATTGTTCAGCAAGAGAGTGGCTGAATGCGAAAGATAAAGTGAGAAGAGAGAGAGAGAGAGAGAGAGAGAGAGAGAGAGAGGACCAATCAGCCAATCAGTAGTAAACGATAAGTCTCGAATTAGTATTGACCAACTGGTATCCCCTATCGCTGATTGACTGGTAGCAATTAAATTGTTTTCAGATGGCAAGCGAAAGTCAAGCCACACAATTTGGACCAGAGTACGGAATGACCACTTCTGTTCATATCCACTTAAAAACCATTTTGTTAAACAGATAAATGTGGCTCTAACCGGCTTATGAATCTTCCATTATATCATTATCAAAGACGTTCTTACTCCTGTAAATGCTACATTCTCCTCCCCGCCCTAAACATGCATAAATCATATTGTCAAATCCATCCTAAGTCAGTACTTCTCTACTATATACAAATATATATGTAAAAGTCACGTCTTTAATGTAAGCAGTAAAATCGCATTGAAGCCACACTTTATGACTAGTTTCTCTAATTCAAAGTCCACCTAAAAATTATCCACAATTTAAGTATAGGTAAGTGCATTGAAACCAGCAGCTTTGCTCACTTTCAAGTTTCCCAACGTAACCATCACCAAAAAATAGTACAATTGTAAATTTTTCATAATTTCTGGAAAACATTTGAATTTTCTGTCATTTTCCAGAAATTACGAAAAGTGTCCAATATAATGAAAAATGGTTTTATGGACATCCAAAAATTCTCTAGTCGATCTTATCTGTTCAGATAAATTTTTGTTGTTGACAATTCTTATCCGTAGCCTTTGAAAGGTTTTGTGCGGTTATTGAAGAGAATAGACCTGCACGATCCATATTTGGAAAAATCTAGTTTTTAACTGTTTTCAAGAAAAAAATTATTTCTGCAAAAATCGAGTATTTTGGATGTTTCAAGGTTTAAGTAATTTTGGACAATTGGGGTACGTCTAGGGTCGATGGACTCGAAATCGGGTCTAGTAGGGTATTTTTGTAATTTTAATCGAACGGGCTTTTTCTCCTAAGGGAGTTTAGTCAACCATTAATGTTTTGTAGACAACATCGGGATAAGGGCCAACATGCGATTCCACCAAAATTGATCGGTCTAACCATTCATAACTGATTAGTTTAAATGAGAAGATTGTAGCAAGAAAAATTAGTTATATATGTGATGATAATTTTGAAAAAGTCGAGGGAATATCACATGTAATATTATGTATGCCTTAAAGGATGTTAGGTGTTAAAAGATGAGTAATAATCAAATGCATTTTTTTCCTATTGATTGTAATAGACTGGAGAATGAAGGTCGGGCTTACCTCAAGGAGCGATTATGAGATGAAATTACTGTGATGGGTTTCAATGTTTGAGAAGAAGTTGCCTTGAAGCAGATCAAGTTGTGCCCGAGTCTCAAAAGGCGGTACAATCCGAGGATCACCTTCACGCCTCAACCCGAAGCTATCAAAACTAGATATATCTCAGAACAAAAAACGAGCGTCTCAGTGATTTATGGTGATTGCTGTTTCTCCTCTTCAAGCACAAGCACAGGCACTTGGGACTTTAAATAGAGCTTTACTTCTTCTCTTGCCCCAAAGGAGACGCGCAAATGTTGTGGTGGTAGATGGCGTTTCTTAGACAAGGCAATTGTACTTCTTTTGATTCTGAACTTTTTGACGAAGACCACTAAAACAATCCCTTCCTCGAAATTGGCAAGACGACCCCTGTAGACTTTACTTGGCAACTTTTGCACGGTGTTCATATTGGGAATTACTTCTTCTCGTGCCTCAAAAGACGAGCTTGATGTGCTTGGGATACCACAATCCTACCGTGGATTTGCGCGTCTTTGATGAGGAAAAAAACCTCTTTAACTGACGAACCCTCACCTTTTGTTAGTTCTCTTTGCAATGGGATCACATGGCCGCGCAAATCAAAGTGAAGATCGACAACATTTTGCTTTCCCTTCCCGTATAAATGAAAGCCTCTCCCCATTGGAGGCGTTGAAATGGTCAAAAATCTACTTTTTAACTCATATTTAGTGTACCGACCAAAAAAACTCATATTTAGTAAATTGGCTAAAAATTTTAAAAATAGGTTGTTATGAATTTAAAGTAACAAAATTTAATTCAATATATATTTTAATGAGTCCGAACCATGTCTATATTGAATTCATATATGAATTAACACGTGGAGCCCACTGTATGTGGTGCTACAACTGCATGAGCTTTTTCTTCACTTGCCTATTGCTTTGACCAATGATCGAGTGACATGCCATTCGTTCCCTACTCGTTACATATAGCTAAATCTAGTGGGACTCATGTGAAACTTATATGGGTCCTATCATTTTCAGTTTTCCAAACATGATCTTTCTCACGATATCAATTAGCTCCACGTCCGAACGACGACATCAATTAGGGTCAATTCAGCCAAACCTCCTCCATACACTTACGAACGTAAGGAATTAGACTGATATCATGTGCTTAATATGTACACACAAATTTTCATCGTATGTATTCAAGGATCAAAGTTATGGTGAAGTATAAGGGAAAGAGGAAAGCATGGAAAAATTACCAAAAAAGTCCTAAATCAATTGCACTTGTGCCAATTCAGTCCTAAACCTTTCAATTTGACCAATTTAGTCCTAAACCTTTTGACAATTTGCCAATGTAGTCCATCCGGCCAATTTTGATATGTTTAGGTTGCTTTGGATGGTGGTTTTTCTTGGTTATTAGACGTATTGCATCCTAATGGTCGTTTCAATGTCAAAATTACTCACTTTCCATTGGCTTATCATAACATGTGATACAGCTGTCAAATAAAATACCTTTTATTCTACCACATCATCTCTCTCTCTTCTTTGTCATGGCCCGACTAGAAAATAGAGGCATCTTGCTCAAAGCTGCAATGATGCTTGACTAGATCTAGCGTTGCGTTTGAGTAATTCTGGCATGCATCGAGCTAGACACAGCATTGGAGCTTGATTAGATCTGATGTCGAGCCCAACACAGCGGTGGGCCGTCATCGAGGACTCATAACTCAAGACAAATATGTTATTACAGCAATCAACCGCGATGCCAAATTGGATCAGTGAGATATCTCCTTACATAGCATGCTCGTGCTAGTATCTGCATTTTGCAAAAGAAATCGTTATCATGAAAAAAAGACTTTTTCGAAGATGCTATATCATTTTTTCTATGAAACCGAGTTAATTACCTTTTAGAAAATTCTATGGCGAGGGAAAGCAAGTCAAAGTCTTTCACCATCTTGCTTATTTAGTTGCAAAGAAAGCGATAAGGCAAAAGCTTACAAGACCTGCTCAAAAGAAAGGGGAAAAAAAGGATTGGTGAGGAAAAGCAAGTCAAAGTCTTTCATCATCTTGCTTGCTTAGTTGTCAAGAAAGGGATAAGGTGGAAAAAAAATTCCCGTGATTGAAAGCAAGTCAAAGTCTTCCACGAAGTTGCTTGTTTAGTTGCATTATGAGACGGGAGACCATTATTTATCGTGAAAATATTGTTTAAATTTAATTATAAATGATGCAACAGAGAAAATCAATCACAACATAATAATTGTACTGAAATTTGTGTTTCACAGTGGGGCTTTGTATGGGGTTTGCACGGTTTCTCTTAGGTGTTTTAATAAAATCTAAATGTCCAACAATATTACGTAAATACATTATACATCAAACTTTTCAGTTTGTTTATTGACTCTAAATAACTCATATTGATCTATAGTATACGTGGTAATGTTATTGTTCTATAATTATACTCTTTCTCTTTTAAAATAAATATAGGAAAGGATAGAACCAAACAATAAAAAAGACCTATCTATTTTAACAAGTAAGAGTCAAAAAAAAAGAAAAAGGGACTCGTGTCATGGGACCCATGTTGATAAATAAGAGGGAACGAGGGACCGAATCTAAAGTTCGAGTTCCCCGATTGGAGGGGCTGGACAACAAATAAGAGGAACCCGAGGGACTGATTCCGAAGTTTCTTTTTTCTGGGGTGGAGGTGGAGCCAAAAAACAAAAGCTCTCTCGGTCTCCTCTCTCTCCACTCCTTCCCCTCACATCCTCGCGGTCTCTCTCCGAGCGGTTTTCAAAACCCCATCGGCAACAATAGGCAGCGCAGCCACTTCATTCCTCTGATTTTTAATGGCAGATTTCATTGTCTCTCGAATTTCTCTTTGACGTTCTTTTGGGTCGACATGCCCGCACGGCTGTTAATTTTTGTGCTGTTTTTAGGATTGAGTTCTCAGACATTCCGAGCTCCATTTCCGTTCGATCAACTTATCCTCTTGTGGACGCATGAACCCTCTAGTCAAGTCAAGTCAAGTTTGTTGGCTTGGTCCACTCCGAATAACGTGTACGTTAATTTCTCCCCTTGGAAATGCCAAAGAAGGTTCGTGCTCTCTTGCGAGAGAGAGAGAGAGAGTCACTTCAATTAAGTTTACCCACGTCGTTTCATTGCGGAAGATTAGGTGATGAGCCCTAAAGAGGGCCCCCAAAAAGCCCACATCATTTACATGTTCAGAAAGTCAATCATTCATTTATGAAGATATTTAAAGACAGATTCTTCCGGTTCACACCTAATATGTTGAATCCATCAAGAGCTTTCAAATTATGTAGGGAACTCCATGGAAGGAGCGTCTTCCTCTTTGAATATAAGCTCACGCGTTACAAAATCCTTACCGTGATCTTTGGACCTTACTCTTAATTCTTTTGAGCCTAATATATCTCCAACTCCTCATTTTCGCTGACCGGTCTATCTGATCCCATTTTCAATAGCCAAACTAATGTCGCGTCGCCTATTTATTGCCCGATGGACCTCGCCCTCTGGGTGCATGCAGTTTCCTCGTTGGAAGAAATTTCTGTCGGTTATGTCTTTGATTGTTGTTTTGGAAGTCATATAAATCGCTCACATGTAGAATTGACAAAAGTTAAAATAGGCAATGACCAAATATTGTGAGACATTTGTGAGTACGTGCGAGCCCAATGCATCATGACCCTTAAATCGTGTGGGTTTCATGTGGCACCACCAATGTCGAGGGCTCAAATGCAATGGGCTCACGTGCACCCGAATCGTCTAAGAGCTTTTCCATATTTGGTCCAATCAACAATCATTGCCTTTGATAGGTGGTTCAATGTAAGTATCTATTTGAAAGCACATGCATATACTTTATTTCTGCCTTCATCGAACGCAAATTATTGAGATTCTGTTTGTTTCGCAGAAAATATATGATTTGAAAAATATTTTCCTAAATACGATTACTTATATCGCTCATAAAAATTAATAAACAAAACTAATTTTATCGTCCATGAAAATGTTCGGATATTATTTGTTGTCGATAATAAAAATATTTTTATTAGTTAATTATTTCAAGCAATAGAAGAAATCATTTTTAAGGAAACGTTTTTCAAATTATTCATTTTCTGCAAAACAAATAGAGCCTAATATTCATATATTCTTGTACCAAATATCCGTGATCAATCAA